TTTCGCGAATACCCGCACACTACACTTTCAAATACCAATACTTCAAACGCGGAAGATGCGACATTGCGAAAGGTCTCTACTGCTTCAAGTTAAATTATTAAACTTCTTATTCAGCGAAGTAAGCTCAACGCTGGCCTAGTTCCGAAACGAGGTGGTCATGCTCAACAGATATTCAAAAAAGCCTCGAAATAGCAAGCACTTCCTTTGACGGAACCGTTCAGCTGTCAATCCCCTCACGAGAAGAAATGTGTTTCGGGATGCCGGATCTAATCCAGAAAGCGAGTGTTGAAAATATTCCTCTTTTTAGTCCGTGTAGACAGTCGATATTTCAGAAACAAAAATCCATCACGTCAGTGTAGACGCTCAAATAATTTTTGAAAAAAAAAAAAAAAATTCCAAAAAAAGGAGATGAGCCCCACTTGGCAATGGCAAACTTAAAACTTTTTAAGCGCAAAAGCAAATAATGCACACTGAACTTTCTAATGGGATTAAATAGATAAGCACAATGCATCAGAAAACGTAAAAAAAAGATTAAAATATGATAGCGAGTGCTCCTTCACCACAATTCAAAATACGGTTATGACGCCGCAACTCTATTTACCAGCAGGAGTTCCAGAAATACTCAATAAGACACAAACAACTAGCAAAAAAACTTTCAAAACCGTTAACTTCCTAGCTTTTCGCTCTCGAATTGTAAAATTGACATTGATTTGTACATGCGGTCACAATTTTGCATACAGGAGAAGGTGGACATGCTCGCCTTTTCTCGCTTTTGAATTTCAAATTTTGCATAAATTTGGGAAGTGCAATTAAAGGGTGCGATACAGAGCCACTTGAGAGTCGGTTTCAGACTCTTGCATGTAGTAAAGAGTTAAGGATTTCTTCCGAAAATTTCAAGCTTGTATTTCTGACCTTCCAATCCCGAATTTGGATTCGAAGTCAGAGGCCAAAAAACAGGAAGGTTATCTTTCAAATCTCTGACCCTGTGTAAAGTTACTTCCAAAACTTTAAATTCATAAACTGATATTTTTTATGCCTGAATTAGGACTTGAAATCAAGGGTCAGGTCAAGTACGACCTGCAAGTTTGGTTCAAAGTTCTCCATTTTGTGCGCGACCAGAAAATCCGCCAAATTTCAAGTCTGGAATCCTCGTGGAGAGGGAGAACGGGGTTTGCAGTTACGGAATTTGGGCCAGAGGTTGCAAATCAGGGTACAAGGCAATTTGGAGGCGGTACTCGATTCCAAGACTTCGCAGTGGCCTGGTCTTGCTAATAAACATACCGCTTTATAATAACTGGTATTAGTAATCTTTCCAGGTTTCGGGGGCAAAAGATGATCACATGCATGCATACACACATACGTATGCGCATGCTGGTGCGTGTGTGTCGGTAGTTGAGGAGATAAAAGTAACTGCATGATGTCAGCACATATATATATATATGAAAAAAAAATTTCAAGTCATATATATATATATATATGTATATATATATATATATATATAAGCGGATGCCCGGGTGGACGCATAAGCAGCTCGTTTTACCTATTTTTCGATCTTGATGTAACAAAAAAGCGCATAAAAGCCGTCTTCGAACGTATTTTTCTCCCAGATTCTGTTGTAAGCCACAAGCAGAGCTAGTTCTCCGCTGCAAGGGGAGAGAAAGACACCGCAGGCATCCCAGGTATTTGCATGCTTTCCCTCACACTTCTAATTTAGTAAGGAGAAATCTTCTTTCACGTCTAGCCGTGTCTGTTCTGTTCCAATAAATACCAGGAAGCGCTGCACTGCATCTGTGGACCATCGCGTTGGTGCTATTAGGATACGGCCTAGTGACTGAGCTATTAAAAAAAAGCTCCAAAAGCTCGCGCTCAGCAAATCTGTGTTTGAAGCTCGGAACATATCAGCTGGTATGTATGAGAAGATATATCTTTCATGAGGAGAATTTTTTGCTTTTCAGTAAAATCAATGCTCAAGTTTCTGATGGTAATGCAGTGAAACCCAAAAGTTCTTCAATTCGAGCTAACCGAGCAAATACAGCCTCAAGGCATTTTTATCAACTGTGCTCGAATAAAGTGCTGCCAGGATCATACCCGTTTCCTTTATGCTTTTACTTAGATCCGTTTCTCCCTGTTTTACTTGTAAGCCGGAGAAGCTGCCACTTCCCCTTCTCTGCGCAGAAAGATTTTTTTCCTACTGCATCGCGCATCCCGCTATCGCACCAAATCCCTTGTGTCCAATTCAAACACGAAAAATTTAATCCGTTTTTCTCCAATTCGACCTTACTGGCAAATGGGATACTTTTTGTAAAAATTTTATTTGTTCATTTGCAATGGACTGATCCGAATGATTCAGATCCGCCACATTTTAATCCGACTTGTTCGGGTTGCGGGTCGAGACTTAAGTTCGTAAAAACCCCTACTTCTGTTTAATTTTAGTAATTGAGTGCATCATGCTGCGTGAAAATGACGACGGCTCAGGTGTACGCCAGTTGGCCACTATCAATATAAGGTCAACCGTGCTCCTTGGTTTTTTCAAAGCTCTGCAGGTAGGTTGCGAGATTTGCTCGATGAGTAGTACCTACGCAACACCTCCGTGCTTATGTTTCTTGTCTCCATTCACCGCGATGCTCGTCTATTACACAACTGAGTACCAGGCATGCATCATTGTCGACTGAATGGCCCTATTCCTCCCGTTTGGATATGTGATATCCGATCGAACAACTTTATATAGTGCCTAGAGAGTGTGGACCTTGCACACTTCTTACGTAATCTGCCATTCCTGTCTGGCAAAAGCGCCTGGATTATGGACAATGGCCAGATGCTTCAGACAGAAATACTGCGCACACATAAACGATTATGAGTGGACTGGGGCAGGTGTTTAGGCGCGCATCGTATCTTCCTCATGGTGCACCATTCCTCACCAATGGGGTCAGCGGTCCACCTTCAACGGTCGTCGTTTGGCGGTGATGGTCATCAACAACAACGCAAAGCCGAACTGACCCAGCTTCGCATAATTTGAACAATGCACTAATTTGTGGAAAAAATGTCTCAAGCATGTCCCTCTGTAATGTGCGCCTTACGGTGAAAAGGCGTTGTGAGGTAGACCCATTCCCTCAATTCACCTCACTATTTTGCATATCTTTACGTACTGTATGTGTGTTTAAAAATTTTTTGTAGTTTAATTCTTGTTCGATGGTGTACTCGTAGATGTCGAAAGCTTCGAGACTTCCCGTGTACCGCTTCGAATTATGGAAAAGAGGCATATAACCCCTGCCTTACAAACAGAAAATTGAGGGGTGTCTTACTTTCAACATTGTTTCTTCCATGGCATTTCGTGTATTTAATGGCTACAAGCCATAAGGAAAATTCTGACTTTTTATACCCACCGATCACAAACTCCAGGCCAGATTTAATGTTATTCACGTCACGAGCAACGGCCTCACACCGCAGCAACGGTATTTTATGCTTCTTATAGTAACTCTTTTTCTGCAAACTTCTTGACCATTTGATTTACTTATGCTGCTGCTGTTTGCCTCTTTTTTCGAGGTACTTTTCTTTTGCAGGCAATGTCCACTTTCTCACAGGTGTCTGCTGATCCAGTTTACACATATCGATGATCCACGTAGAAATTTATAGTTATCTGCTGCCAGTCTTTTTAGTTAAAGGCCCAACTAGTATAAACAAGACTCTAGTCATGCGAATCGCCACGTGCAAGGTAATCTCATCCTCTCAAATCACAGGACGCTAGAACTCCTCTCGATTCCGAAGTTCAATTGTTACACTCCAAGAAT